AACCAGGCTCCTCCAGCCTTTGCTTCGAACCGGGCCGAAGCCCAAGGGTGAACAGCCCCCAGCCCCTCCTGTGCACTGCTAGCCCAATCAGTTTCGGCCCGATTCATGTTTTTTTCCGTGAAACAATTTTAGCTAATTATCCGGGATTTACTGTTTTACAGAAAAGTCCCTCTAGATCATGCATTTAATAACTCACAAACCATGCATCATATGTAAATAATTTATACATGTAAAATGCTTAGTTTTTCATCTAGTTTCATAATCAGCCATTTTCAACCATGTTTAAAATGTTTAAATTGCTGTTTGTTTAAATTTGCACAAATGCCATTAAAATGATTTATTTCATAACTAAATAACCGTAGCTCCATTTTAAATAAACTTTATATGTAAATGGGGTGGAAAATGCATAGATTAACTTGGTGCACTTTAGTTTCCTGTTTAACAGCAATAAAATATGTTTTAGGGCAGAACAGTACCATATCTAAAATATGCACATGGGGATTTTTCGAAATTGTTATTTGTTGTTCCGACCTCATTTAAACTTGCCTAGATAGGTAGTTTTCATATGCTTCACCCCTTGCCATGTTTAACAACATTTAATATAGTTGGGTACATAAACGAGAGAGAACTAAATATTTGATGTGGTGTTTTGTCAATATGCAACTCGTTGCATATTGAGCTCCACTTAACTTGTAGTATTGTTTGTTGCACTTTGCCATGCCATGCCTCATTAAACAGGACATGCATCATACTTGATTGGGCATCATGCCATGTTTATGCTTGTCAATTTATCATGTTGTTTGTTTCTTTCCGGTGTTGCTTCTTAGTTCCGGTAATATTGCGATTGTGAGGATTCGTTCGACTACTCCCGTTCGTCTTCTTCATGGACTCGTTCTTCTTCCTAGCGGGATTTCAGGCAAGATGACCGTCACCTTGGATCTCACTACTATCATTGCTATGCTAGTTGCTTCATTCTATCGCTATGCCGCGCTACCTATCACTTGTTCTTCAAGCCTCCCAATATGCCATGTCAGCCTCTAACCTTTTCCACCCTCCTAGCAAACCGTTGTTTTGGCTATGTTACCGCTTTGCTCAGCCCCTCTTATAGCGTTGTTAGTTACAGGTGAAGTTGAAGATTGCTCCATGGTGGACAGGATTATGTTGGGATATCACAATATCTCTTATTTAATTAATGCATCTATATACTTGGTAAAGGGTGGAAGGCTCGGCCTTATGCCCGGTGTTTTGTTCCACTTTTGCCACCCTAGTTTCTGTCATATCGGTATTATGTTCCCGGATTTTGCGTTCCTTACGCGGTTGGGTGATTTATGGGACCCCCTTGACAGTTCGCTTTGAATAAAACTCCTCCAGCAAGGCCCAACCTTGGTTTTACCATTTGCTCACCACCACCTACTTTTCCCTTGGGAGTAATTAACCCAAGGGTCATCTTTATTTTAGCCCCCCCCGGCCAGTGCTTCTCTAAGTGCTAGTCCGAACCAGAGCCCTTTGCAGCGCCCCCTTAGGGAAACTTGAGGTCTGATTTTAGTATTATGGATTGCTCATCCGGTGTTGCCCTGAGAACGACATATGTGTAGCTCCTATCGGGATGTCGGCACATCGGGCGGTCTTGCTGGTCTTGTTTTACCATTGTCGAAATGTCTTGTAAACCGGGATTCCGAGACTGATCGGGTCTTCCTGGGAGAAGGTATATCCTTCGTTGATCGCGAGAGCTTATCATGGGCTAAGTTGGGACACCCCTGCACTTTCGAAAGTTGTGCCCGCGGTTATGTGGCAGATGGTAATTTGTTAATGTCCGGTTGTAGATAACTTGACACCAGATATGAATTAAAACGCATCAACCGTGTGTGTAGCCGTGATGGTCTCTTTCCGGCGGAGTCCGGGAAGTGAACACGGTTTTCGGGTTATGTTTGACATAAGTAGGAGTTCAGGATCACCTCTTGATCATTGCTAGCTTCACGACCGTTCCGTTGCTTCTCTTCTCGCTCTTATTTGCGTATGTTAGCCACCATACTTGCTTAGCCGCTGCTGCAACCTCACCACTTTACCCCTTCCTTTCCCATTAAGCTTTGCTAGTCTTGATACCCATGGTAATGGGATTGCTGAGTCCTCGTGGCTCACAGATTACTACAACAACAGTTGCAGGTACAGATTTTACGATGATCATGACGCGAGAGCGATGTTTGCTTGTTTTGGAGTTCTTCTTCTGCTTCTTCTTTGATCAGGGGATATGTTCCAGGTCGGCAGTCTGGGCTAGCAGGGTGGATGTCGTTTGAGCTTCTGTTTGTGATTCATCCGTAGTCGGATATTGATCTTATGGATGATGTATTGTTGTATTCGTGTGGCATTGTATGCCTTATGTATGTATCCCTATCTATTATGCAATGTTGATGTAATGATATCCACCTTGCAAAAGCATCTCAATATGCGGTTCTATCCTTGGTGGGACCTTCGAGTCTTTTTAGGATAGTATCGCATATTGGGCGTGACATCAAGTCACCAACTGGCCGGACTCCTATCAAGATTCGCACTAGCCCAAGATGGTATCCATATGTCAAGGTGAGCACTGCAGTATGTAGTTCATTGCTTGACATGCTTGGATTGTTCAAGGTGAGCACTAACACAATCTTGTATTGCCATTTCAGGATTGCATTAGGGCAATAGATGGTATTCATGTCACTACCAGAGTGCCGAGGTCACAAGCTGCATCATACATGGGGAGGAAGCACTACACAAGTCAGAATGTGTTTGCTGATGTTGACTTCGATCTAAAGTTCACCTATGTGTTGGCTGGCTGGAAGGGTCAATACATGATGCTAACATACTCAGTGACAGCATGAATCGTCCTGATTGCAAGTTCTACCTAGGAGATGTTTGCTATGCATGTCGGTCAGGTATTCTTCCACCCTTCAAGAAGACCAGGTATCATTTGAACGAGTTCTCTAGTAGGGACTACCCTAGGACTCCACATGAGTTGTTCAATCTCAGACACTCCAACCGTAAAGTAACAGTTGAGAGGGCATTTGGAGCTCTGAAGAACAGGTTCAAAATCCCGGATCAGAAGCCATTTCACCCTTACGCTACCTAGGTTAACCTTGTTCTTGCATGTTGCATTCTGCATAACTGGATCCTGCAATGGGATTGTGATGAACTGGTACATGAGGAGGAAGATGTGACACCTGACAATTTTGACCTCGATGGCCATAGTGTTGCGGCATTTGACATTGAAGCCTCGAAGAACAAAAGGCTGAAATGGGCACAATCAATGTGGGATAACAGATGTTAGACAAGGATCTGGAGAAGAAGAAGAGCAAGAGCAACAACAGAAGAGGAAGCAGCAGTAGAAGAAGAGGAAGACGAAGAGGAACATCAGCAAAACCAGAGGTAAGAGGAAGAGGAAGAGGAGGGATGATGGGCTTTCCCCATTCAGCCATTTGGCTCTTAATAATGTGTATTTCCATTTGATAGTATGTAGGACGAACCGTAATTTATTCCGTAGCTAGGAGTGAAACTGTTAAGATCATGTGTGGTAAAGTCACGACTAGTGAGAAGTGGTGATAACATCTAATGCAGGTTGCAACCAAACAACGTGTGCTATGTGGGTCTAATGCTATGCGGCCAACCAAACAACGGGTCAAAATTAGTTCCCTTATTATGCAGCTAACTTATTTGTGGTCAATCAAACAATATGCAGTTAGCTGGTGCTCTTTCTCTCCGCCGACCGCCAGGTGCTCCTCCTCTCCGCCGACAGCGTCCGAGTCCCAGTTGATCGGCGTCGTAACAAGAAGAGGGAGTTCTCAAAACAAAAACAGAGAACCAGAAGAGGGAGCACGTGCATTGATCGCTTTGTCCAGAAGACCGTTGATTTCTGTTTATATCGAGATCACAGAGCGATCAATATCACAGATCACAGATCTATAGATGGCAGCTAGGTCAATGGCAAATCACAGAGCGATCAATACAACGCTGCGCATTACTGGCATGTGCATGGCGTTCGCTTGACACATGCAGCGCTCCTCTCCCAGACCACATGGGTGCGCCGGCTGCACGCAGTTAGTTCCCGACAGCGTCATGGATGCACCAGCTTCCTCGCGTGGGCAACTTGGCATCGCGGGCCGCGTGAGAGCCATAAAACCCAAGGTCTCTCGCGCTATAGCCTATACCACTCAAATTGGAAAGCTTGCCTGCTGTCGCTGCAGATCGAGTGACGCTCCCTCGAGCTACGCGAAAGCCACGCGAGTCAGCCTCAGGAAAGGGGGACAAGCATGCCTCCGCAGCCGCACTTCCTCGTGCTCACGTACCCGCTCCAGGGACACATCGCGCCGGCGCTCCGCCTCGCCCGGCGCCTGCTCGCCGCTGCGCCTGGCGCGCTCGTCACGTTCTCCACCACCGTGACCGCGCACCGCCGCATGTTCCCGGCGGAGGCGGACGCGCCCGACGGCGGCGACGGCCGCCTCGAGTTCCTCCCGTTCTCGGACGGCTTCGACAACGGGTACGACAGGACCACCGACCCCGCGGCGTGCACCGACTACATTGCGTCCTTCCACGCCGCGGGCGCGCGCAGCGTCGGGGAGCTGGTGGACGCGCTCGCCGCGCGCGGCCGCCCCGTGACCCGCGTCGTCTACACGATGCTCCTCCCGTGGGCCGCTGACGTCGCGCGCGAGAAAGGCGTGCCGTCCGCGCTCTACTGGATCCAGCCGGCTGCCGTGTTGGCCGTCTACTACCATTTCTTCTACGGCCACGCCGGCGTCGTGACCGACAACCGCCACGACCCGTCGTTCATCGTGCGGCTCCCGGGCCTCCCTCCGCTGGCCGTGCAGGACCTCCCGTCCATCATCACGGAGTCCACCGACCCCTCCGAGTTCTACCACAGCATCTACACTACCATCCGCGACCTGTTCCACACGCTCGACAGGGAAACCCCCAGAGCAAACGTGCTCGTCAACACGTGCCAGGAACTCGAGGTGAGCGCGCTCGCCGCCATGGGAGCGTACAACGCGCTGCCGATTGGCCCAGTGCCCCCGTCCGGCGACGAGACCGGCCTCTTCAAGCAGGACGGCGCCAAGTACATGGAGTGGCTCGATACCAAGCCGGCCGATTCCGTGGTGTACGTCGCGTTCGGGAGCCGGGCGGGGATGGACAGGGAGCAGCTCGACGAGCTGCTCCTCGACCTCGAGCAGAGCGGGAGGCCTTACCTCTGCGTCGTCCGGAAGGACGTCAAGGCCGAGTTCGCCGATGGCGAGGCGACGCGGGAGCCCGAGACGAACGCGCGGCTCAGGAACGGCATGGTGGTGGAGTGGTGCGACCAGGTGCGGGTGCTCTCGCACGCGGCGGTGGGCTGCTTCGTGACGCATTGTGGATGGAACTCGGTGATGGAGAGCCTGGTGTGCGGCGTGCCGATGGTGTGCGTTCCCCATATGTCGGACCAGCGGATGAACGCGTGGCTCGTCGAGTGCGAGTGGCGCGTGGGAGCCCGCGCGGAGGTGCGCAGCGACGGCGTGTTGCGCTTGCGCGCGACCGGGGTAAGGCAGCGCGTAGAGGAGGTGATGCAGGAGGGTGAGGCCGGAGCGGGGGCTGCGCGGCGCGCGGCGTCGGAGTGGAAGCGGGTGGTCGCTGAGGCTCTCGGGAAAGGTGGCTCGTCGGATCGTAATCTGAGGGCATTCGTCGAGGCCGTCGATAGTGGTGTGTCCGTATGACACTGGCTTGTAGGAGCAGTATGTTTTATATGTTGGTTGGTTGGTGAAATAGCTCAGGTTATCACATGAGACTTTGTTTGAGCTTCATGATGAAATAAGGATGTGTTTGGTTTCACGTCAAGGGTCATCAAATGTTATGGTTCCATTTCACGAGGAGTGGATTTATTTCATTTTTCTGTTGGGTAGAAGATAAAAAAAGAAGAAGAAAAGATACATGCTTTTGACATATAGTACGCCATGCTCATCAGTCTTCATAACACAATACAGTCTCATACACACACACACACCCCCAATGAACGTACACACGCACACCTATGAGCATCTCCGCGACACTGAGACTAGCCACAATGGAGAGTAACATACAGTAGTAACATACACATATCCCTAGACTATGTTACTACCTCAATAGTGGGTAGTAACATAAGTGTGGTAACATGCAAAGATTCATTTATTAGGTTATAGACTCATATTGCATTGGGACATGTGATGTTACAGTAACTAGCTAAGTTACTAGTACTACATCTCTCCTCATTAACTCACTGCCACATAAGCAAATTTGCTGAGTTGGACTCGATGTTACTACCGAAGTTACTCCCACTGTGGCTAGTCGTAGGCATACCATCTTGAGATTGATAAAGTCATCACAGATGCTCGTAGTCGACATGAATACATGGCATGTCTATCTTCCCACATTTGTGTAGCAATTTGTTGCCTAATGGTCAACTCTGGCCCTATAAACCTTGCTTGTTGCCTTTGTGCTCGAGTTGGTTGGTTGCTTCATGTCACATTCGGTATAATAAAATCACGAGCCCCTTGAGATAGTGCATAATTATGAAGGATGCAATGAGCTATGACAATGTATACTTGTAGCATCATCTAAATTTTTGAATCAACTCTTAAAGAGATTCAAAGTGTAACATCCCAATTTTTTAATTTTGATGTTATACATAGATCATTCATATGCATCCATGGTTTATTGCATTTTGTTGTTTTGTTTTAGTTGCATTTTGATCCAAGAGGCCTTAAGCAACTGAAGGACCAATCTGAGAGAGTTGGAGGTTTCACAAAAATCCAATTTTAGTTTATCAAAATTTGGTATTTGGATCAAATTGTTTTTAAAAAAATACCAAATATTTTAAAATAATGAGAGAAGGTAATATGACTTCTTCAAAATCAGTAGAAAAATATTGGAAATTGAATTTTAATTTTTTGAAGAGTTTATTTGATTTTATTTGCTAGCTTATTTATTTGTTAGCAGAGTAATTAGTACTATAATGTTTGTTTTTAGTTTAGGCATTTAAGCCCAGAAAAATATTCACGAGGTCACTAATAAGGCCATATAGCTACGTGAATTTTTCTGAAATTTTTAGGATTTATTTTATGTGTTTTAGTCTCTCAAAAAAAAATTTAAAAAATTTCTCCAGAACTGGGCCGGCCTAGCCGAGCCAGTCCAGCCGGCCCAAGCCGCGCCGCTGCCGTCTTCGAGCTCGGGACGGAGTCCCGAGCGTGCCCGACACCGCCGCCGCCCGTGTCCACCTCGACCACGTCCGCCGCCGCCCCCTCCCGCAAGCCACACTGCCCCTCCCCTACACCTATATATAGCGCCGCCCCCACCCCTTTTCCCTCGTCCCGAGCCACCGTAACCACCGCCGTCGTCGCTTGCTGCCGCGCCGCCGCTGTCGCTAGTCGGCCGCCGCCGTGGCACCGAGTCGCCGCACGCCGGGCCGCCGCCTCACGTTGACACCGGAGCCCCGCCGGAGCCGCTGCCGATCGCTGGAGTTTCGCCGCCGGTTCTCTCCGGAAAACTGGTAAACCCTAGATCGGTTTATTTTACGGTTTTTCCGGTTCGTTCGGTTTAGTTTTCGTTTTTTCGGTTAGTTCTATCTAGCGAATGTTCATTCGTTTAGATCTGTCAACGAATGTTTTCGTTCGTTAGTCTCTATTAGTGGACGTTCGTCCGATAGATTTTTCTTTTTAGTTAATTTTTCGGCCAGGGACCTATCCATGAATATTTTCTTCGCAGATTAGCCCCTGATCTTTAAACCTTAATAACTTTTAGCTCGTTTGTCCAACTTAGACGAAACCAATGCCTAAATCTTCAGAGCGATCTCATCTATCCAGTAAACCAACTTGAACATGATTTTGACAATTTAAAATTTGCGTCTAGTTCAGATTAATATTTGATCTTGTTTAGTTTGTATCTTGAGTTTCGTAGCTCCGTTTGAGTTGATTCTTTTTGCAAATCGTAGCTAATTACATGTACCTACTGTTAAGATCTAATCCACATAAATATAATGTTGTTATAATTTGTTTACTATTAGATTAGTTATTTGCTTGTTTTCGAGTTTTCTTTGGATCTTTTCTCAATTTCTCTTTACATCCTTTGCTTGATTGCTTATGTATGCTATTGTTTGTCTACGCTAGATTTTCCTGAGTGCGAAGCTTGTTACTACGAATCTCTAGAGTTTTCCGATCATCAGCAAGGCAAGTTACATTTTGATCATACTTTTCAATACCCGGTTTTTACTATGCATTAGTTTTGCCCCTCAAATATTTGCATGAGTAGGATTGGGAACATGTGGATTTGGTTGTAGTACTTGAGGTAGGAACCTATTACCTTTGATCACCCCTGGAATATACGTTATGCTCAATTATTGCATAGACATGCTCGTAGACGGGGATTGGATCGTGATGTACATGTAGGTTGTTAGAGATAATAATTTTGGACAACATTAAGGTGGCAACTTTAATACACACCTGGGTGGATTGGTTGCGGCACCTGGAGAAACTAGTGTTTGCCCTTGGGAATCCTGGAGTACCCGTGTGATTTTCCCTAGGTTCGCCACCCAGGCTCAAAGGGATCATATGATATTTCATGCCTAGAAACTTCCGTATGCAGCCACAAGCCATTATGGGCTCTGGCATAGTTGAGTAAGTTGTGTGAGCTCTTGAAGAGGTGGACTAGCAGATGTAGGGGAAAGTAGGTGTACCGGTCTACCCAAAGTTGAGAGTTAATGCTTCAGAAAGACTATGTCTCGATCTTCCGATCATGGATGTGGTCGAGTCTTGTGGGGAAAAGTGCGCAACCTCTGCAGAGTGTATAAACTAATCATGGTTAGCCGTGTCCCCGGTTATGGACATCTTGAGTATCTAGAGGTGGATATTATTGTTGATCTCATCACTCTTTAATTAATGAATTGGGTTTAATGGTGATACTAGTTTAATGTTGGGATTTGAGTTGGAGGAACCTTCTCAAATATTGGTATAATTTTGTAGTAAATAAAATTTATTCCTTTGTTGTAGGGAAAAACTAGCTTTATGAAAAATATTAAACTTAGAGCCTCCACTAGCCAAATATGCCTGTAGATATAGTTTCTTGCATTCATTTGCTCTAAAGTGTAACTCGGCCAACATATTTCATGTGCTGACCTACACGGCTGCAATGTCTCATGTTGCAGACTTTACCAACAAAGAATAAGGTGCGAATAGGTCATTGTCGTGCACTCGGCTATGTCGTTGGAGTTTATGGACTCATTTATCTTTGAAGCTTCCGCAATTATTTTGTTTAAATGGCCTTCAACTATATTATTTGTGTAATAGATACTCTTTATGATGACCTCGATGTAATAAGTGCGTGATTGAACTCTGTTATAATTCCTCGAGTACTGTGTGTGTCAGCATACCGATCCAGGGATGATACTTAAGCACAGAGACTTCAGTCATCATGGTCGCTACAAGATGGTATCAGAGCACACGCTGACTGTAGGACGCTACCACTAGGAAACGCCACATGATACTCTTTTCTGCTCATTTCTAATCCTACTCTATTTCTACTCTATAGATGGCGGACCCCAGGAACAAGTTCACTCAGCCGGATGACGACACTCCTTTCAGACGACACTTGAAGGAAGTCACGAAGTATTTGAACATCAGACTACCAAGCTTCACTGGAACCTTCACCGTAACTTTACCGGAAGAGGAGCACTGGAGATCAATGTTTGTGTACCTGGGGGGACATTTGCGCGAACAATGGAGCCCATTGATTTTACCATGGATGCACCAACTTGGAACTTGGGAAAGAGCATGGCAGCCCACATCACTTTTGGATGCATATGTGAGGTGTGCCACAAGGAGCTTGAAGACACTGTCTATCAGATATGTGGAAGCCGAGACGAGCAATGGGAGATGATTCGTACCAGGAAGGATGGATCCATTGCAGCATACATTCAGGAGATGGATCAACACATTCGTCGATATGAGAACCAGATGTGCACTATCATGAAGAAGAGCAAGAAGGTGATGAAGAGGAATATCGAGCTAGAAGAGGAACTCAAGTCGACACGCGATGGATATGAAGAAGAAATTGCTGTGCTACTGGAGAAGCATGAAGAACTGAAGAAGAAGCTAGGAATACTCGTGGTGAACTCAAAGCAAGAACCTGAAGTGGATATTCGATCGGAGGACCACATCATATTGGATGACATCGACACCGACAGTGATGCAGATGATGACAATGATGATGATTACAAAGACGAAGCTGGAGCTGACATTATGGAGTCTTCCACCGATCAAAACTTCTAGACGACCACCATGTTACTAGTAGTATTCTTCCAAGTAGTTAGATCGATTGATTTGTAATAGTAGTTAGATCGTTTGTGTGAATCTTGTTTGATATTGAGTGGTGTGAATTGATTGTATTTACCTCATATGCATATGGGTAGTGAGATCTCTCATAGACCTTATTCTATTCTGTTTTCTCACCCCCTCTAACCCATCAGATGCCTTCGAGATGTGACACCGGATTCATTTTCCCACCGGAGCTCACCCAGTTGATCCAGCAATAGAATGCCTTGATGCGGATGTTGGTCCAGAACCAGAACCAAGGCAACAATAACAACAACAACAACAACAACAACAACAACAACAACATCAACCCGCCGCCACCACCCCCTATTGACAACCTAGCCCATTTTCTAAGGTTGAATCCCTGGTGTTCTCTA